ATCTAGAATTTTTTTCGTATCTTGCTTTGTTTTTGAGAAAAAACATAAAAATCACTTCATTGCACATCCCTGTGACGAGCCGAAGCCAAGAGCCGAAGCCAAGAGCCGAAGGCAAGTGCTGCAATTCATACATACATATTTTTTGTTTTTTCATTGCATTGATTTTAATAGAAAATTCCAAGACTAGAATAGAGTACTAATATGAAAAAATATTAGGTAAGACCCCAGTTTTTGATGGTTTAGTAGTTGAAATGTTTTATTGTGTTGTCACAGGGATGTGCAATGAAGTGATTTTTATGTTTTTTCTCAAAAACAAAGCAAGATATGAAAAAAATTCTAGAAATAAAAAAGTTGTAATTTCAGTTGCTCAATGTAAAACAAATACAAAAATTGCGAAAAAATCAGTGGCGCACATTTTTTCTGTCAAAAATATTGGCTACAGTGCCTTCCGGGACGCCACTGGACATGATAATTTTGATATAGTTAGGGTTGAATTAGCCCTTTACGACCTCGAATAACACTGCCAAATTTCAATAAAATCGGTTGAAGGGTAATTAAGATATTTACGAAAAAAACGATTTCTTTTAAAAATTTTGACACCCTGTATCTTGGAAACGAAGCATTACCGGACCTATGTTTATATGAACTTTTCGTCTTAGAACCACTCAAAGAATCACCCCTTCAAGTTTGGCCACGTACTTAAATAACACACTGTATATGGTCCGCTTCAAGGCTGATCGGTTAAGAAGCCGATTTGAGGCCGCACCTGCGTATATAGACTCTAGCGCGGATCGAGAGCGACCACAGATGATTTGAAGATGTTTCTACTTTCAATTCTCCTTTCATTCGAATGTTTCACCCTAAAAATTGCTAATGTATGTATCCACCCCTACTCAACCCAATGAACTCAATACAACTGGAAGGGATACGCCCGCTCTCTCGAATAGCACAAAGTGTGTCAGGGGCAGCTGCAACAGAGATAGCATGATTTACGGATACCTGTCCTCTTCCAACTCGTGTTGTTTAATGGTGGATTGGTGTATACATTTTCTTTTATCTAATAATTAAAGTAGCTAGGAATTTTTTCTCTCATCTACACAGGCAAGAAAGTGAAGACATAAGTTCATTGTCTTCGTTTATGCTAAATACGAGGTGAAATATCTATTCATTTGGCGTGTTTTGTTGTATCAAAAGGACTGAATTTGTTGTTGTGAACCCTGATGAACTGATTGTTGAGAAGGTTTGTGATTAATATTGATAAACAATGGTGATTTATTGTGTCGCCTTTGGATGCAAGAACGAACAAAATAAAAAGGAATGGGCATTCCATGGGTAAGTTGAATATTGTTCTCAGATTTTTGAAAAATATAGTTCTTGAAATGATCATCCAGTTAGGTATACAATGTTCCCAGTCTCAGAATATGTTCAAAAACTATACCTATATTATTTGTCAAAGGTAAATACTTCCATATTGATATTGAGTAATATTATTTGTTGCAGCTTTCCATTCAAAAGACCAGACATTCTCGAATTATGGATAAAGGCAGTTCGTAGAGAGAATTGGACTCCAAATAGAAGCAGCAAGCTTTGTGGGGAGCATTTCCTGACAACAGATTATTTAGGCATACCAAGTACAGCTAGGTTTTTTAAAGCAGATGCTGTACCCAGTATATTTTTTATTTCCTCAGCATTTGTTACCAAAAAATGCTGATTCCCCCAGGAAAATAAGAAAACTCATAGGTACCTAGTTGATTAATAATGAAAAAAAAGTATGTTTTCACCTCATTAAAATAAAAAAAAAAACTAGCTAGTAATTTGTTTTCAGGATGCATCTATGGACGCTCATAACTTAGGTCCAAAGGAAGAAGTTTCCCATTTTATTGACTTTGACTTGCCTACCACTTCTAGCTCCCAAGTTTGGAGGTTTATCAATAAAATATATTGTATTGAGGAGGAAAGTGAAGACACTGAGACAAAACGTAATAAGGAGAGACCTAAAAATTTCAAATATGACAGAAGAAGGAAGAAGGAATAGGAACCTATGGAAATTATGCTCAAAATGCACTCAATAACATTCAATAACCTCTTTTCAAATTTTTCCTATCGTTTTTCTTCGCTCACCCTGTACAATATATTGTGACATTTGAATAAAAATATATAATTTCAATTTTGTATTCATTTGACTTCCCATCCTGTGAGAGTGAGATTGAAATTTAATATCAAAGTCAATAAAAAAATCAGTAATAATTTTTTAATGATAGTTGATTACAACATTATCCTTTTTCCTAAATGAATATTTTTATTTAATCACGTTTACTTTCAAATAGAAGCAAAAAACGAGAAAATATTTCAAATTATGCGAGCGCTTCCCATTAACCAACACAAGATAGAGAGAGATAGGTATCCGTAAACACTGCGGGTTGCCTGACAAATATTTTTGCCTCACTCGTCGTTCACAGTGGGTCCATTCCAGTTGTATTGAGTTCATTGACTCAACCACTGAACTATAACCCAACAAATGGAATGCTGATAGAGCAACCTGCGCGTGAATATTTTACGCCTTCCATGGAGATCTTGACCTTGACGCAGTTAAACGAAGATATGAAAAGAATGCCTGTGATTATCGAAATTGCTTACAACCGCAGACATATGTCGTTGATGAGGTGTGCTCCCATCAGGAAAGGCTTAGATATTTTTGTGCCCATCATTTGCCACGCCTTTATTATTGTTTGTTTTCATATGGTTTTTATTTCCATTGTTTCATTGTTCCTGATCGTGTCTTTTATAGATTCGTGTTTGTGTCCTGGTATTGGGATGGTATTTTGTTCGTTTATATTTTTGAGCTGTGACCGTGATTTTGGTGACTTCTCATTTAAAAGACTATTATTAGACAATATGGAGCAGGAATGCATGGTGTTCTTGTGCCGAAATCGGAAATGAAATGTCCTTGACAATTCACTTTTAGAAAATCATAAACTCAGGTTGATAAAAACTACCGTAGAGATATTCTTGAAAATAGAGTTGTATCACCTTGAAAGACAACAAACTGAATTCATGAGTGGACTGACAATTCGACAAAAAATGAACAAATTTTGGTGTTATTGTCCCACCGATATTCAGTAACTATTGTGACAGAGTTTCAAAAAATTGACATCTTCTTTTCTCTAGATTTTTAGCTCGGAAAAATAATGACAGTCTTCAAAAAACGTGAATTCACATAGTATTATACATTATAATTGAAATCTCGGCAAAATAACGCCAAAGTATTTTGTGTTCAAATGTCAACATTTGCTGACAGTCTCCGAAAAATGTAAATTCGCACACTATGTTACATTATAATTCAACATACTTCAATGGGCAAGAAATAATCGTTCATTGGCAAAACCGGCCCTGGTTTCAATATAAGCGCGCATGCTCACAACCTTAAATCCGCCATGTCTGCGCGAGGTTCTAATGAGCGTTTTATTGAAATCATGCATCGGCATTCAATTTGTAGGGTTATAGTTCAGTGTACTCAACTGGGTATAACCCAGGTATTCACTACTAATGAAGCATTGCTCTGGGAAATGTCATTAGTTGACAGGGTACCTACATATTATTTCTGACATCCACTCTTCCCAGCTTGATATTTCACAATTTTGTTATTGTATTCTACTTCTTATTTACTGTTCATTCATACATTGTGTTTGTTAGAAAAATGTAACTAATGTAATTTGAAATAAATGGATTTTAAACCAGGATTGTAACCAAGCAACAGTACATAGGTTCGCAGCCCCCCCGGCTGGAGATAACATTATTCCTTCATTTTTTTTACAAAATCTATAATAGGTAAGTTTTAAAACCTATGCTTTCAATGATATTCAGGAAAACATTTATGTCGTAACTACGAATAGATTAGTTTGCTAAGGTAAATCAAATATTGATAAATTATCGGGTTCTAAACGCTTGTGAGTGTTAGCAGGATTTTTAGCAGTGAGGCTATAGATCCTACTAGTAAGATATGTAGCCAGTGCTGATCAAGAATTACTATTGGCGCCACCTTCAACAGCCTTAAGAGAGTATATTCACACCTGAATGAGACAAACTTTACAGCAACGGAATTTTTTGATTTATCGAAAACATATCTTATTCAAAAGAACTATTTTAATAAACCTTGTGAGTATATTTAGATTGAGTTTTCCATTCAGGTTATATTTCAAATTATTATGCCATTGATGTGCTTGAGATATTATTATGATTTTGTTATTTGATATTAAAAAATATCACCCGGTCAAATGATACAACGTTACCTAGTCTTTTCATTTTTCACCTAATCCTATATATCAAAGGAAATGAGCAAGCTTTTGACACAAGATGAAGATAACATTCATATAATACCAAGACAAAAATCAAATATTCATCATTCAGCAGTCACCATGGCACATTGGAATTAAGTGCTTCACAATAAGGTCAGTAAAATAATGGATATGATGAATGTACAACCTAATAATGTAAGAAACTTCAGGCAGAAGGTTCAGTCATTTTTAGATGCACTTTATAGTGTTGAGGAACTCCTCCAGATTAAAAAAAAATGTCAATACCTATAAATATAAATTCTTGTCCTATGTAATGATATTCAATGTACTCATTTTAGATATAACCATTATTGCCATCGGGTCATTGTCCTTTCGTTTGTCCTTTTTGCACTGTACTATATCTTTGTTATATGTGTAATGTATAATCATAGAAGAATAAACTTTTATTCCTTCCTTCTTTCTCCCAATATATTGAGATAAATAAAGAGCAGTGTATTCAACATAATCTAGCAACCACTCTTATATTGAAAGTTGAATAAATAGAAATATGATTCGTGGACAATTCCAATCAAAAAATTGATGCAAATAATGAGTGAATGAGGAACAGAAAACAGAGTTTCCCAAAACAAGAAAGAAACGGTTTGTATTGTTGTGTACAAACAAAAACGATAAAGTGGCAGTGAACATAACCATCATTACACTAACCTCTTTGTCAGGAGGGACATAATACAGAGTGACGAGGGACTTCATAATTTCTGCAGGAGTCTTGTGTAATTTATCCACATGTTCAATGTGAATAATATGAAGATTTGGTTTCACAATTTTTGAATCTGGGGATTTAATATCACTTTTGGGCGATTTATTTGTATCTTCTTCTCTGTGAAATTCAACGTGAAGTGTTGTGGCCGAGGCTGGGATTTCTTTATCAACGTTACAGCAATCTGCTAAACCAAATCCATTTTCTTTTCCACCCCAATTCTAGAATAGAACGTTCATATGAGTATATAGAACCTAAAAATCGTTCACAAAATGTAGTCTCACCTCTGCAAGATATTGTAACCTGGATAATAAACATTCCTTCTCATCTGGTTTCAAACGTGTTATGAAATTACTCCTTTTTGAAAACATGTACAATAAATTCAATACTTCCAACACAACTGACATATCATTCGATTCCAGCAAGACCAAGAGATGTTCCATAGAATTATACAAGTGACGAGAAAATGAGTGTTCTATCAGCAGGCTAGTGAATCGAAGAATGTGAATGAGCAGTTGAAAATCCTGAAACAAGTAAAAAGTGTAAAGATTTATATTTGCACATTAAATTTTAGGTAATATTCAATGTTTTGATTTTACAGTTTCAATTAAGTTTTCGGAGAATTCGAGATTTTATCAGTCAATCATTAGAAAATATAAAAAAGGTATAGAATAGAATATAATTTGTATTCACCACTGTGGTATGTTATATCAATTTGAAATAAAAAAGAAATAAAAATATAAGAATATCAATATATAAAAATATCTGGATGAATAATATTACATAGTAGTACAACTAGTAGGTATACACATAATAAATAACAGACTATATATTTACAAATAACATAATGGAATAGACAATACATATATTTAGGTTCTATATTTTTCCATCAATGTTCAATTTAGAGCATCGTCCAAGAATTCGTTTACACTATAATAACATTTTTTTATTAGGAATTCTTTCACTCTTTTATTGAATATATTGTCAGAAGTGGAATTCTTGATGGATACAGGTAGTTTATTGTAAGAAGCGATCACATTATATTATGGAGAGTTCTCATATTTTGCATATTTGTGATCCGGAATCCGCAATAGATTTCCATGTCGCGTATTGTAATTGTGCACGCTAGAATTCTTCTCCAGCTCATGTAAATTAGTTCTAGCAAATCTAATACATTTCAAAATATACACTGAGTACGCTGTCAATGAATTTTCACGTATGAATTTGCAACTCTCCAGGCGATTCTCATTGAAAATTAGTCTGATTTGTTTTTGTGCTACAAAGACTCTGGAAAATTCATTGGTAAAACCCCATGCCATTATATCAAGAGATATGTAGGAATGTGCCATGGCGAAGTAAATATTCAGTAGACCTGATATATCTAAACAGATTTGTTTTATAGCTAAGAAATCTTTGTTTAATTTATTGCAGGCAGTTCAGTCTTTGATCTAGGTGAGTTCCCAGAAATGTTACCTCACTGCTCATTTTGATATCATCGATAATTTGTAGATCAGGCGGCATATTATTCTCCCCACTAGTAACTGTAATGGTGGTGTCATCTGCAAACATTGTTATATGACAATTTGCAACATACTCTGACAATTCATTAGTATACAGTAAAAAAAGTAATAGCCCAAGCACTGATCCTTGGGGCACTCCGAGCCCAACGTCCTCGATACCTGATTTAATTCCATTACATTTCACATTCATGGATTGTCCATCAAGATACGATCCCAACCACTTCATTAAACTGATAATTTTCCATTTTGTTTGCAGTTACTTTCATGGGATGATTTTCTTCAAATGGTGTGAGATTTTTTACCGATTCGGCTGTATTTATTATCGATTTCATCTATTATTGCTCGAATTGTCTTATCCTTGTGTTCAGTATACACGCCACTGGAAAGGTTTTCAGTGCCTGTTTTTTAATGAATCATAGGAATACATCTGGTTTTTGTACTGATTGTTTTTACATCAGGTACTGTTTTTTGCTGAAGTGCCAGTTTTATCTTCCATTTCTTTCGTCAATTTTTTTTGACAATTTATGATATTGTTCATCTCCACTTTCAAATCCAGTATAGTTGGGGTAAATCTCAAAAGGCCATTCAACTCATTATTTTGAGAGAATACAAAAGAGCCGAAATTCTCAAAGTGGGAGAATATTTCAACAGTGAGGAAAACACCCAAGTTATTTTCACAAATATTCAATAAGATGTAGACAACCGGATGCCACGCAGAACTTTGAAATACATTCTTCCGAAGTCACACATTCTTCTGCGATGTGTTAACGATGAACGATTCAAATGTGTAATTTACACCCTGTCTTTTATACTTTTTTCGAAGTCTATTTTTATGTAATGCAAGATACAAGATGCAAGAATATATTATATACAGTGTTATCTTCCAATGTTTCTTTTTCATCACAACTTTTGTGACCAAAGAAGAACATAGGGAGCGATAAATGAAATGAGGTGTTGCAATAAAAACTTACACAATAAATTGCAAGGAGATAAAAAATGTTTGATATGGCAACATTCCAAATGTCATTGGTATTTTCTCTGCATTTGACTTCGCCGAAAGGAAACGCTTATGTTCGACTGTTAGCTTCTGATCTGTCTTTCAAATTTTCAAACGTCCAATTTCCTAGGACAGAGCCTTTCAAACGGTAATTTCAGAAATAGTCCAAAACAGACATGGGAATATTTCAAACACTAGCATTTTGAGACTTCACGATGTCGTCGTCTTATGAAAGGAAAAAGCATTGCACAAAAATGGATTGTTTGTTTTACAATTTTTACAGGACTTATTCTCAAAAACTATAAAGACAACGAACCAAATCATCTTTGTTGGAAATTTTATGAGCTCAATTTTTCGTTGCAGGGTCGTGATTTTTATATCAAACAAAAGGTGAAAGATCATTATACATACGCTTACTTGGGCTTTTCAACAAGTTTTAAAAAACGGCCTGCATTTCGAAGGAAAGTTTCGAATCATCATGTAAAAAATTCAACGAAATTACCCCGCACTAAACTTATGGAATTTGGTTATCGGTCAAATCGGCTGAAATTTCAGTATTTAATACTTCATACCATCCTGTTCAAATGTCTAATAGGCACAAAATCCCGAAATGCTTACAATCAGAGATGCAGGGTCGCAAATCATTTAAAAACCCATTCACGCCGACGCGGACGTAAACGGACACTCGCAAAAAAAATATCTATGCCGGCCAAAAAAATCCTGAAAATGCTATACTCGTAGTTAAATTGTCCGCTCTATCCGAATTTGACATTATTTTTCAGATAAAACCTTTTTGGAAGGGTTAAATTATGGGTTGAAAGGGAAAAAATCGAAAAAGAAGCGGATAAAAGCATTTTAAAGTGCCAGAATTACGGTCAGAAATGGGTGGTCATACCCTGAAGTTGGTGAATTCAATGTTCATGAGACTACTGGTGAGTTCTGAATCCCCCCCTCTCCCCCGGGTGGGAATGAGATGGAATTGGAATATTATTATGGGATATGGGTTGAACGGTGGGAAATAGTAATCTGGGGTTTTCCAGATCGATTGTCACTCATGCCCCCCGTCTCTTGTAAGTCCAACCATAATAATTATAAACTGAAGAATTAATTGATATTAAGAAAACTTCAAGGTAAAAATTATCAACGTCTCGGATTCATCAGGTCGATAATAATAATATCAGACGAGGAACAGCAATTCAAAGACGAGATAGTCTGAATCATCCTCCTCTAGAAGTGACTATAATCAGACAAGATTATATATTTTGATTTCTGGGTTGCTAACCCCATTTTCGAGGTCAGTTTTCACCCCAGAGGGTGAAAAAGAGGGAGGCTAGGGGTGAACATTGGACATTTACAAGGGATGGTATAATCAATTACATATTATTTTCACCTCTAGGGGCGCATATTAGTAGAAACAGACCCCGGAAATAAAATCAGTGATCCCGAAAATCCCCTGTTAGCACTATTTCCCACCGTCCAGAGCCTATCCTACGTAATTGTCCAATTCTTACCCCCACCCCCCCCCCCTTTTCAACCCCCGGTGGATGCATAGGTGAAAATCGACCTCCGAAACGGAATCAGCGACTCCGACAACCCCCCTGTGCTATTTCCCATCATTCAAACCACATCCCATGTAATTTTACAATCCCACCCCATTCCCACCCCCGGGGTTGTTAAAAACTCACCAGGATTCCCGAGAAAATAAAATTCACCCATTTTAGGGTATGACTAACCATATCTGGCAGCAATTCTGGCACTTTTAATTGCTTTTGCAGCTGAAGTATTTTTGAGATTTACCGTAAATAACATAAAAACCGCATTTCGTTAGAAAGAAAGCCAGTTTGCACACTTCATCTTTATAACCAAACGAACGACTTGACCTGTAGCACCCAATTTTTTGAGCGAGTGGGTTCGATTTTCAGGGGGTAGGGGGGTTAATTCCACGGTAGTTTGGGAAAAAAATCGAAATGAAGCTACAAAAGTGATCCATGTCGATTCCAAATGAAATTTCCCTGATACATCTGATAGTGACATCCTTCCAGCTCTCAGATAACCGGAAGTGTTTAAAAAAACGCTATTTTGGAAATTGGCGGCCGATCTGGTTCTACTGACATGCTTGCATTATTCGAGCCATGTGAGCTATGAATTTACATGTTTTAGGGGTCTTGGAATATGAATTTATCAACGAAATTATATCAATTTTATCAAGCAAGATGGCGTCCAAGTGTCCCATCTGTTTTAAAACTTGCAACAATACTTTTGCAATTCAATGTAGTAAATGTATGAAATGGTATCATTGTGAATGTATCAACATGATGAAAGCTAAATTGAAATACTACGAACAAGAAAACAAAAACCCTAAAGGTGATCACTGGAATTGTGAGGCATGCAAAAGTGAGGTTAGAATTAACAAAAACACGCCCGAAATCGAAAGAAAATCAAGTGTAATAACTGTAGAAAAGGAAATCACTCTCAAGGATATCATGGAGAAGCTTCATCTAATGGACCAGAAACAATCTGAACTACTAGCTAAATATGAAGAACAACTGAAGATTAATGAGGTATTGAGAAAAGACATCGATGAATTGAAAACCCAACTGGCAGAAGAAAAAAACAAACATGCACAAAAAGATATTGATAATAATATTATAATAAGCGGCGTTCCTCAACATAACAAAAACGAAAGCTCAGCATCAATGGTACAAAAGATTAATCAAGCACTGAAGATTAACATTCAGAATACAAAATGCTATCCTCTTGGCAGAAGTACTAATCAATCAGGACTAGGGATGATAAGAGTATGTTTTGAAACCAATGAAGATAAAGAAAATTTTCTAAAGGCTAAGAAGGACATGAAACTAACTGTGTCTAATACAGGACTTGGGGATAGTGACAGGGAGATATACATTAACCATGATCTTACCAAGTACAACCAATACATATTCATGCTGGCAAGAAAGTTTAAGAAAGAAAACAATTACAAGTTTGTATGGTATTCTCAAGGAAA